CCGTACCACCGGCATCTTTCGGTCACTTAAGTTAAAATACATTTAATGTAAAAAATACGGCATATTTCAGGCTAGACGAGATGTCTACTAGACGTTTAATAAATCAGGTAAACGACATCTGACAATTTTCTCTCTTTGCACATGAAGCAATTGTAAACGCTGTTCACGGTGCGGGATAATGACAAAAAACTCAAATATCTATGTGACGTCGCTTATGACGTTGCATATGGTTCACAACGCAAAAGTTGAGCATCGATCTTGCAAGGAGTGAAGCGACACGAGCACGACTTCATGTGCAAACGATAGTCTTAAATCATTTATTTTGTCATCAACATAAATTTTAATATTTCCCTTGTTGAATTATGATGGTGAGGGAGGTCACGTCATTGACCTAGCTTTACGTAAACTTCTAGAAATTACGAGACATAAAAGTTGCAAGGTCTCGGAAGAATATGAAGTCCTGTGAGTTTTTTTTTATCTGCAGAAGTTGACCTAGCAATGGCGGAGTTGCCAAGCCGCAATATTTTGGGACCGAGTGAAGTCTTTTATGACGTCATAGGTCAGTGACTCGACAAGAACTGAAAATGTAATTGGTCGTTGGTGTCACCAGAGAATCGGCTTGAATCAAGTCAGGTGTGCTATTTTCAGCTTTCAGGTTTCCTTGTTGAGAGCAATCGCAAGAAGTTTGGGGTAGGTAACACCCGTCACCCTCATCTATGGAAAGTTATGCTTTTGCGGAGCGACCTTCAAAGCTAGTGCGCCCCATGCACTGTCGTGTTTTCAGCTTGCTGTCGGTTTTCCAATATATGGAAGCCAGTTATAGGCGTCGCTTAGTCTCTCATTGGTCAATCGCACACACCACGTGTGGTTCATCAACGACCAATGAGAAGATGAGAAACGGCAGCAAACTGACAGCATGCTGATTTTGGTGATCAAACAGCGCCCTGACCACACCCCTCCCATCTATCGCTGACATCCTGCTCGGTAACTCGTCTCCAGACGCGACTGAGCCAGGCCCTTCGACCGGTTACCGCCACCGGCATAATTCCGCCTGATTCCGACTGCACCGCTGGACACCACACTGCGGCGAGCGACCCCGCTGCACTGTAGGCCGGCAGCCTGAAAAAGCGCTAGAAATTCCCCCAAACTGACTGTCCGCAATATGAACAAAATAGGTATCATTTAATCCCAAATTGATCGAAGAATACGATTCCGATGCTAGTTTTGCCCTAAGGTCAAAATTGAGGTCGTCAGTTGTCACCAAACACAAGACAATTTAGACTCTCTATAGGCCACCACATTTACCGATTTTAATGATGAACTTTAGTGGTAATTTATTAGTTGACCAATCGTCGTTTTGAACAAAATTTCCTGTCAGACTAGTTCAGGGAACTGTTGCTCACTGTGCCAACATCATTCTGACATATTGCATCGCTTTTCTGCAAGATAAGCTAGCTGTTTGCAAGCAGCTGCAAGACGTAATTTAAAATCATATCCAATTTTTCAATTAGACTTTTATAAAAACGTTATTTCGAGCAGCTAAAAATGAACATTTCATACTAGCCTCTGATTACTCATCTTTTGTTCCATATAGGTGCTTTGCTGCTTTTCCCTGCTACTTTTCGAGATATGCGCCAGTAAACCACATGATGTAGGGGCAATTGTCACCTCGCCGCTCTACTGAAGGCCCGGCGCTCTTTAAAACGCTGGAAGTTGTGAAAAACAAATGCTGATAATCTAAATGAAATATATGTCCCTGAACTCAGAATTGATCAACGCACACAATGCTGTCAACATTTCTGGGCCAAACTAAAAAATTCAGTCATTATTAACCCCTAAACACAAGTCAGTGATAATCAACAACAACTTGCTCTTTAGTTAGACTTTTTGAGAAATGTTATTTCGAGCCGTTAAAAATGGTCATGCCATACAAACCACCAATCATCTTTCTGTCATGCCCTACTCGCCATTTTTGCTAATGCCTGCTACTCTTCGAGGTCACGTGACCTCACCATTAAAAGTGAATGGGGAAATAAGGAAACTGTTGTTTTTGCGCATGGAATGATTTCAAACTATCTCAAGCACACGGAATCGTGATTTCGTGCACTCCTTGCAAGATCCGATGCTTTACTTTTGCATTTTTGACCTTCCGTGACGTCATTTATGACGTCACACCGGTCATATGAGTTTCTCGTCAATAACTCATGATCAAATTGAGCCAGCGACTCGGGAAAGCCACCAATGGACTCGGGAAGACCTCCCAAATCGAATGATATGCGATACGACCTCCTTCGATTAAGTTCGTGGCCTGATGGGCTCTGAACTGACCTTGACTCGAGGTCAATACCTTAAATTGACCTCACCCGAACAAAAAGTATACCATTCGACGCGCCTGAGCCAGACGAACACGATGGTGCCAAAATCGCTGCTCTGCGGCCATTTTTTGCGAAATTATTTGCCAAAAACCAAACCCTACCTTGGGCTTTTTGACATCACCTCAGAGGTTACCGGTTGACCTGGAACCTTAAAATCGGGTATCAATCGTTCCGCCTTGAAACGGCGCACACGCTTGTTTTTTCCGCGAGGCTCTAGCTCCATTAGGGGCGAAACGGCAAAAAGGGGTCGTACCAACCCTCCCCCCTCGACCGGCCGAGGGGGTGGGGGGTCCGACAATAGGTCCGGCGAGGGTTAAGCAGCCCCACTTCGTTTTTAGCATGTTTGCTTGTCACTGAGATCAACAACTCAATCACAAATAATTTCTAGCACTTTTCCGGACCCCCGGCCCAGTGTGCGCTGTCAGACTCGGGCCGAACGCACCCCCTCCCCTACCCCAACTCCAGCTGTGGCGAGGGTGAGGGTATTCACCGCATCAAACCTACAGGCCGCCTGGACCCTTATCTTGAGACCAATAGTACCTCTGGTAAAACCTCTGCATGCATGCGAAAATGAAGGTTTTAGCAGGGTGATCCGATTAAACCCGTTCGACTCCCCCCTATACGGGCGAGGGTTACCCCCGAGTTGCTTCATCGCGATCGGCCGCTTTTTACGCGAGTTATTCGCAAAAAATCGATGAAGCGTTTTTCACCTCTTTCTGGGTGATGATCATGAGCGACGAGCGTCTGCACAGGGGCCCTCTGCAGTGCGTCGGCAGTTGCAGGCAGCAGCCACTGTAATTCCAACGGTCATTTTTGTCCAGAAATTTCAAGATTTCGAATTTTTCTGTAAAAAAAAGAATACCTGCCATAGCTAGAAGGAAATTTTTTTTATCACCATCGGATTCCTCGCACAATTGCGCGTCGAATGATATGTAAAACGAGTGCGTAACGACTGGGGAAAGGTAAGATTTAACACAAAAGTTAATTTTGCCCCCCCCCCCAACCGAAAATCTCTGGCGACGCCTATGTAGATTTTCATCAATAGTTAGTTACCACTTACCATTGAAGTTACTTGCTATCATGTTGAATTTAAACATAAGAACCTCATTCATTTTATTTGTATGACATGTTTGAATGCAATTTTCTCAATAAGTGAAGAAAAATGTTGGTAGTGCTCAACAACACATTGGTAGTGCTCAGCTGAACATTGGTAGTGCTCGGGCACTCCCAGGCCTATACAAAACGACGCCCCTGACTGAGCAGCATTAGCCGTTTTCACGACGGGCTTGTCGGCGAATACACCTGATTCGACCAAATCTGCACCTAATTTCTTTTACAGCAAATATCTTCATTTTATGAATTTATTTCAGTGTTTTAATCGATGATGCTCTACGATAATATGACAAAGCAGGCATATAAGCAGTTAGTGCAACCCTAGCTTATAGCTGCTAAGATACACACTGAACCTGATTTGACCAAATCTGCACCTGATCTGTACCAGATGTGCACCAAATGTGTACCAGATGGCCGTCGTGAAAACGGCTATTATCTATCAAATGTATAGTATATTTCAGAATTTTGATATCGATGACCTATAAAGGTAAGGTCAATTTTGCGGCCTCTCCATTATAAGTCAATGGGGGAAAATTGAAAAGCGTCTGTTTTGCACGAACGCTATTCTAGGCTCTCAAACATCGAGATGTAGGTAAGATTGACACACTGAACCGGAAAATGGCATTTGTGACCCCTCGTTATGTCCCCGAGGTCATCTCAGGTCACGAACAGAATCTAGCAGTTTTTCGCTAATAACTTCTAATAGAGGCGTGCTAGAGCGCTTAAAACACCTTAGGTGTGTTCGGCTCGACGTTGCGGATCGACTGATATGCAACATGACCTTTTCCGGTCAGGTCATGACCTTGACCTGAGGTCAAATTTTCAAGTTGACCTTTCAAGGTCAAATTGTAGTTCATTCGACGCGTCTCGACGGGGGGAACACGATTCTGGCAAAAGTAATGTCATGGCTCTTTTGCGTCAAAAGTTATTGCCGAAAAAAACGCTTTTCGTAAAAACGACTATTTTTTGAGTTTTTGCCCTCTGGAGGCTAAACCGTTGACCTGAGGTCAAATATGAGAACGAATCTCAGAAAGGTCTGTAAAAGGGCTATCGAATGCACTTTCCGCGGCGCTGTAGCTCTATCGGTTCCCGAGAAGCCGTCGGCAGTTTCCAAAATGTTGAAATGGTCAACATTTTACCTTTGGTGACCTCTGGTGACCTGACATTTGACCTGACCCAAAAAATGACCGAAGTGTTTTCGTCCTTATTTTGGACTTTCTTTCGATTGCCGCTTACCGCGTATCGCTACGTGGCCCAGGAGCCGAGTTAGAAGGGGGTGTTCAGAGTTCAGTCACCCCCGGCCCGGCGCGGAATTTCAGAGCACCGGCCCGGCGCGGGTTATCAAGATTGCAAATATCATAAAGAAAACGATGCTTATCACAGTTGCACCTGCTGTTCTGAAACTGTAGGCACATCTTTTGGTTTTTCCCGTTCTGTTTCTTCCCTCAGCAAAATGAACCCATCGTGCAGTTATCAGAGCGGCACGGTCTGCCGAAAGCTGTTGATACTCACGAGAGGTCGGGGTACTGCGAGCTCCACTGTCCGTCCACGCCGCACATGTAGCTGGCAGAGCCCGTGTAGCCGGCGCCACACGGCTGGCTCACCGTTTTCCCGGGCTTCGTCTCGGGAAACGTCAGGTCGAACTGCTCGAATGTGACCTCCGGGCAGTTGGGAATGACCTGGCTGGGCCAGGGCGGCAGCGCGCACACAGTGTGTTTGTTGGCCGACCGCGAACAGGATGGCTCAGTCAGCGACACACAGGAGTCCACGTTGGCCGGGTACGCCTCAGAGGTGAGGTTCAACACCGGACGTGCCTCCGAAAGCGACTCGCCCATCGCCCACAGCTCGGTGATATTCCTGCCGGTGTCAGCGACTAGTTGACTGAGGAAGGTGGCGAACACGGAGCTGTGCACGTCCCAGAACATCTCGCCGCCCTGTCGGCGACACGCGGCGCGCTGGTCGTGCCAGCCGCCCGGTAAGCTGGTCACTGTGTAACAGGTGCGAGTGGACGGGTCGTAGGTGCCGTCCTGTCGGCACTCGGTGACGCTGTGGGTGGTGTCCTCCCGGTACCGCAGGTACAGCCACATCGGCAGCGAGTCGCCCTCGGCGAATAAGCACGAGTCCGGGCCGAGGTCCTTGAGAAAGGCGATACTCGGCTTGCACTCGGTTTTACCCTGGCACCTGCAAAGGAGGTTATGTGTTCTGCAGTTGCTTAGCCTCATAATCGTGAGGAAGCGCCAGATTATGTGCCCTTAAAGACATAAAGTACATAGTTTTGGAGCTTCCACACATCAGACCGGAGTGAAAATTTCAAAAAGCTATACATTTCCTATATAAAGATCACCCATGAAAAGTCGAATCGGAAAGCTATACGGATAGGTTTATAAGCACTAACCAATAGCGAAGTGTTGCCGCACCGGAGGGCACCAGGCACCCGTCCGAGTCATCCGGGGGCTTTACGTCGGGGGAGGGGCAGCCCTCCTGAGGATCGATGATATCCCACGGCAGCAGACCCAGCATGGCGAAATCCAGGATAAGCTGGTTGCCTTGTCCTCCGAGTTTCTGGTCCCGACAAAGCGTGTATTCTTGTTCGTTACCTATGGGCATGGGTAACGTTTGTTGTGCGCACGGCTCGGGCTCGATTCCCTGCATGTATGTGCGACACGGTTCTAGTAAGTGGTTCGTCTACTTCGATGACAGTTTTCTACTAATATTTCTGTGTTTTACTATCAATATGTCACTGAATTTGGTGACCTTGACCCTTGGAAACGGCAATTCTGATAACAAACATTAGATGTCTACCGATTACACTGCATTTATCATTTTCGGAGCATGTATCAGAAAGCTTGAAACTCATCTCAACTTCACCGAGTACATCCCTATGTCAAAATATTCACTTCAGTGTGCAAATCCCTCACTAAGCTCTAAACTCACAGTTCGGATCTGGCACAGCGACGCGGTGTCAATCCGCTGTGGACCCACCTTCGGTGCCGGCGCAGTTTTCGCCGTCATATCCCTGGCCGCAGTAACAGCTCTGGCCCGCCGCCTGCTGCGAGACCATCGGCGGCATGATCAAAGGTCGAGCCTCCGCCATCATGCTCTCGCCGTCGCTCTCATACACCAATTCGTCATCGTCATCTTCGTAGGAATAGTCTGTTGCACCCGCATCCAGCTCCCATACCTTCGGTGTCAGGAGACCGCGGATAATCTTGAGGATGCTTCCGTCCGACGAATGGGTGGACGTGGGGGCTGAGCGACGCCGGCGGCTCCTGCGGCGCCTTCTAATTCCCGAGAAATAAGACGGCGATGAAGAGTATGGGAAAGGTTCGTCAGAAGTGCTCGTCATTGCCTCAGTCGATGTGAAAGTTGTTGACTCTGACGTGGTTGGTGTTGTCGTGGACGTGGTTGGCTCTGTCGTGCTTCGCTCTGTCGTGCTCGGCTCTGTCGAGGTTGGTGCCTGTGTCGTGGTTGGTGCCTGTGTCGTGGTTGGTGCCTCTGTCGTGGTTGGCTCTGTCGAGGTGGGTGGATCTGTCGGTGCATTAGGTGTTGGTGTAGTAGTTTGCATCGTGCTGGTTGGATAAGTCGACGTAGTCGTAATAGGTGGTGGCCTGAAAAAGACAGCAAGAGAAATCAAACAACGAGAATTGATGCCTAAACAATGCCACACTTTTCACTTCGACCTTATTTTCTAATTCATTTTTAGATTATTACAAATATCATAATATACCTATCATCCTTTCCCAACGGTAGCATTCTGTCAACATTACGGGGATACGTGTCCCATTGTCCATGCAGACTTGTAGAAACAATTGTCCATATTTTCAGTGCATCTCGGTCACTTGGCCGAGATGCACTATTTATTTTCTTCAGAATTCTTTAGTCTGCTTCCGCTAGATCTATCTTTTAATTAAATCGTATGCGTAACATTACCAAGAATTAGCCCTCGTAATCGTCGTGCCTACCGGCTACTTTATTTTAGGTAATTGGCGTACTGGCCACAAAAGTTTTACTTACCAGTCATACGGTATACTGGTTTCCATGAGGTAACATTTACCATTATTTTTGCAAATATTTCGTTCACACAGGGTCGGCTGATTCGCACCATTTGCTGATCCTGCAGAAAAAGGCAACGACAGTACATAGACAACGTAGACAGACATAGACATAGACAAAGACAGTACTATACGTGGATGCGGTAAGAAAGACGATAAAGTTTTCATCTTTCCATACATTTCACTGAAGGATGTCAACTAAATGGTTTAAAGATTTTAGGTGAAATAAAACAATAATATTACAAATGCTAAATACTAGCAACTCCGTCATATTTTTCGCAAGCATCCAAACGTTCAGTTCAAGTAGCAATATAAACCCCGTTGTCGTATCACCTTTCAATTAAATCTCCCCAAACATTTGAATGGATCAAAACGATATTGAGCAGGCTCTGCGTTCATCTTCTGGACGAGCATAGCCTAAATTTTTGTTTTTTTGCTAGATCAGGTCACCGAGCTATGATATTATAAGCCAGGTCATGTTCGAACGAACTCGGCGACTGGGCCGAAGTGAGAAAGGTTTGCCGCCTACTAGCGTATGCTCTTACATTGCCAATTTGAGTTAATTGGTGTCTCAACCCGCGCCGGGCCAGGGTGGGGTGTTTAGACAACCCCTGAGGTTTTTCGCATATATCTAAATATATACCGGGTGGCCCCAAAAAAAAACGTTCCGAACTTTGGAGGCCTATATCTCAAATTCGAATGCAAATAACGAGCCAAAATTTCATCAAGTTTGCGTCACTTCTTTGCGCATTGGTATGCCAAATTATAACACTTTACCATCATTTTCAAGCCAGCAATCTTATGTTGAGTTAAGTAAGACGTTTTTGCTTTTTTTGCCGTGTGCCAAATATTCAAATACTAAGCCAAAATTGCGTTAATGGATGTCATTCGATTCAACACAAGTCCTGTTTCGAAGAGAAGGAGCGGCACGGTGCATGGGCTACTGCTGATCGCCCTCCCTTCAAGAAGATCAAATAGTAAATCGACCGAATAAGGAAAAAACTAGAGGGAATGTGTCACCCTGAGGCCTGAATCATCAATGAGGCTAGTTGCCAGTAGCAGTCATGGCTGCAGGCCGTGGTGCCGAGATGGAAGTGGCCCGTTCACTCACATTTTTAGCAAACATCTGAGCAAAAAAGTGATTTTTACATGGCATGTTAGAAACACAAACCGTTTAAAAAGTAATTGACCGAATAACAAAAAAATCACACCATTTGCTGAAAATATATGCCGCATTGACTATTGGAAGTTTCAATGTTGTATCTTTATCACTTTCTGACAAATATTGATTTAAAATTGGGAGCGTTTTTTTTTTCTGGGCCACCCGGTATATCGTTTATAAAATATCGTTTTTGGCACACCTGTTTATGCATCTTTTCTGCACATGTGAAAATTTCAGACCCAGGTCGCCCAAGGCGAATTCACCAGGTCACATCGAGTGACCTTATCACAGAAAAGGCTAGAATGTTCGCCATAGCTACATCGACTGAGCGATCACTTCGAAACTTTCAGCGATTGATAAGAGTAACAGTATGTATAAAACGTACCTTTCGGAATTTCAATATCTGTGACTTAAGGCCAAGACATTTTAGCACCCTTTCCATTATGGTATACCTATTACCTAAGTCAACGGCAGAAAATTGAAAGGCGTCTTTTATACTAGTAATTCGTATTCGTTTCGGGCTACACTGAGGTAAAAAATTGTTAGAAACCAAATATTTCGGCTTTATTGAGTAAAGGCGTCTTTGGTTTGAAATATGAAAATTTTTCATTTTCATATTTCAAACCAGTGAACAAGGCTACTCAATAAAGCCGAAATATTTGGTTTCTAACAATTTTTTACCTCAGTGTAGCCCGAAACGAATACGAATTACTATCATTTACCTGAGGAAGATTAAAAATGACACTTCGTCAATACCGTCTTTTATACATGAACATCCTTCTAAACACTGTCAAACAGGGCTTCAGAGTCGATTGATTTTAGGGTGACTCCGACTCTGACTCCGACTCCGGCTTCAAAAATCGACTCCCACTCCGACTCTAACTCCGACTCCGACTCCGGACGGTTCTATTAAAAACATATCATGATATTGAAGTTCATAATGGATATGTTTTTATCTTGCCTGAAACGATCCATTGTGGGTTCCAAGGCGTTGCGTTGCAAATATGCTAAAAATAACATGCAGAATTAAAAAGCAGGTCCTGGGGAATTCACCGTCTTCGCTTCTTTCGCTGAAAACGTTCGTCCAAAACTGCAAAATGACCTTTTTCGACAAAACCTAATTTCGAGCGCAGTATCGTCAACTAAACAGGTGCATTGCATGACGCTGAGCCATTGCAGCGTTAACTCCGACTCCGGAGTCGGAGTCGGTAAGATTTTGGCGACTCCGACTCCGACTCCAGGCAGAACTGTCGACTCCGACCGACTCCAACTACGACTCCGACTCCGACTCCGCAGCCCTGCTCTCAAACATCGGGTTACAGGTAAACATGACACAATGAATCGGAAAATTGCACCCTTGAACCTTCCTTATCCCCCTGAGGTTATCTGAGGTCATGAAAGGTCTCCAGCATGGCAATCACTTTTGATAGAAACACGCTAGAGCAATGAAAACGGCTTGGATGAGTTCAGGTCGGCGATGCAGATAGACAGATAAGCAACATATGACCTTTTTCGGTCAGGTCATATGTTGATTTGATTTTTCGGTCAGGTCATACCTTGATTTGACGTCAAATTTTGAAATGAACTTTCGAGGTCAAATTATAGTTCATTCGACATGTCTCGACGAGAGAAACACGAAGCTGACAAACGTGCCTTTCTTGAGTCCAAAGTTACTACAAAAAAGCATTGTTCTTAAAACGCTATTTTACGTTTTTGCCCTTTGGAGGCCATGTACCCTTCATTCTAGGTCAAATCTGACCAGAAAAGAAAGAGTGTTAAAGAGCTATCGAATGCGCCTTTCTGCAGCGCTGTAGCTGTATTAGATCCTAGGTAATAAATATGTTTGTAAAAACAAATGCTCAAATAGTTCAAATTTGCCTTTTCATCTCTAGTGACCTGACCTTTGACCTGACCTAAAAATTAGAGAAGTAATTTCTTCATTATTGTGACATGTTCTGAATAATTTTGGTCTTCATTTTGTGTCCTCGAAAGAAGTTCGACCCGAGTTGTGAAGCACGGTGTGTAGAGAACTGGTGTGAAGCATGTTTATCTGTAAGGTTCGCTATTCGTATATTTGTTCATGAACAACTTTTGAACAACGTTTGGTTGCGTATTTATTTGATAGTTTAGTTTAGTTAGTTTAGTTTATTTGTAGATCATCAACGGGGTATGCCCCCAATCACAGATGAAGTCAGTTGAAACACAACATGCACTTATAACATACAGTTCAGCGAATACCGCTTAAATGACTGTTACGTTAAGAAAAAAGTGTGCAACTGTAAAGATAAAAACAGAGATAAAAACACAATATAAAAACATCTTAGCAGTAAAGGTAAAGCATCTACACACTACGAGTGTTGACATAAGCCAGAACAGAGCTCTTGAATTGGCCAGCGCTAGAGTTCCAAACATCTACATCACGACACGCATCTAAAAACTCGTTGCATAATAGCGGCAGTCTACAAAACATTCCTGATTTAACTGTGCTGACTCGACCATAAGGGACATGAAACAGTAACCGTGCTCTCAGAGCACGAGTGGGCACTGTCAGCGGAAAATATTCGAGCAGAAAAGACGAGTCTACAGACTGGTTTTGTACATTGCGCATGAACATCAAATCATGTTGCATTCGTCGCGCCGCCAGAGAACTCAGACCGAAGTAGCGTAAGAGCTCTGCATACTCAAACGAGACATCTGACAGGCAACAGCGACTGCACAGCCACATCAAAAACTTGTGCTGGATACGCTCCACCCGCTTCATGTGTGCCTGAGCTGCTCCTCCCCATACCACGCTACAGTATTCAACTACCGACCTTACATTCGCACAGTAAGTGCTGATTATAGCCTTGCGATCGCTGCAGCTAAGACAGCGTAAGGACCTGCCGTTTTTTCCTGTCTGAAAAGATCTCATTATAAGTCCTAGTGCTCTGTTGGCCTTGAGTAAGATCGAATCGACATGAGGCCCGAAAGTAAGTTTTTCGTCCAACAAGACACCAAGATCTCGCATTACTGTCACTCTTTCCAACACCGCGCCGTCTATCGAATATATGCCTATTACAGGAGACCGGCGCAGTGACAACGTCAGAATCTTACACTTTGAGGGGTTTAGTGTCAGACCCCAGGACTTTGACCACCTACATATATAAACGATCGAGATCAGCTTGGAGGAAAGCAGTGTCTGTACAATGATCTACCCGGTGGTACAAAAAGTTAACGAATTTCTTCATTTAAGGGCAATTGTAACTTGCAAGTAAGGCCTAAAGTAGGGCCGACATAGGGCCTAAAGACTAAAGAGGCAGTCTCGCCCTTTGGTGGGAAAAAGTTATCAATTGAATGGGGGATGTGCTCCGTAACTTTCACCATTGCATAGCGCTTTCACATGACCTTTTATGATCGTTTTAGGGGAGACAAAACATATTTTGGCCCATACTCTTGATATTGACATATGTTTCATCATCGAATGCCCCCCCCCCCCCCTCTGGATCCGCCAGTGAGTCAGAACAATTTTACTAACAGTTACCTGTGAGGATCGCCAGAGAGCAGCCCAGCAGCAGCAGTTACCTGCGAGGACTGAGGATCGTCAGACAGCAGCAGCTCAGCAGCAGTTACCTGTGAGGATCGCCGCCAGCAGCAATTACCTGTGAGGATCGCTAGAGAGCAGCATCCCAGCAGCAGCAGCAGCAGAGTCGGAGAGGGTAACGGTCCGAGGTGCCTGCGTCCCTCCTCTCCGGACTGACGCAGCACCCGCCACCGATACCCGCTACTGCCCATGGTGCCGACTGAGGTCCAGAAGTGCCCGTGCACCTCAGCAGTGCGAGGACCGATAACGGCACCACTGGCTTCAAACCGATTGGCGAGGATAAGATTGCAACGCTGATTAGGCACCTGCGCCCTTCCCTAGTTCCATGAATTGATTTAGCACTGTTTTGATAAATTTCAGCGACGTCCCCGCCATATAGCTCACGTATACCTAGTACCGAAGTATGACCCATTCAAGATGGACTCTTGCCATGCACATCTTCATAGCATATGAGGCACTCAACGTTTCTCATGAAATAGCCGTGTGCGAGTTAACAGAATGAAATATGGGACATGTGGTTTTACAGCATATGCTTTGTCAAACAGAGTAGTGCTCAACACGCTCCTCTGTAAGCTCCTTTGTTATTAAGACATTTTAAAAAGGACGACAACCAACGTAAAACCACTCTCTTCCCGCCACAGCGCGGGTCAACATGGCTCGACAAGACTTATCCCGCGCCGGGTCGGTGCTCGGCGCCAACCGCGCGGGGTGGGGGGAGGGGGGAGCGGTTTGAACAACCCTTTCTAACTCGGCTCCTGTATGTATGTATGTATGTATGTATGTATGTATGTATGCATGTATGTATGTATGTATGTATGTATGTATGTATGTATTGACACCAAAAGCCTTCCACATATGGCGTGGCGATTACGGCTTTCTGTGCAACGTAGCGGGACGCGGTACAGGCGGCATTCGAAAAATCGGCAAATTTCATGATGAAACTACTGGTCAATATTTAGGTCAGGTCAAAGGTCAGGTCACCAGAGGTCATCAAAGGTAAAATACTGCCTAGTTTAACACTTAACCTGCGCACCGACGGGGGATGGTTATCCGCCCCCCTGAGATTTTTCGCGTATAGCGGGAAAACCGCGGCGCACAAAATTTGGTACGACTATTCTCTCATCAATTTTACACATGGTGTGCAGGTTTAAACCTCCTAACTTTTAAAGTCAGGTCACCAGGTCACTTTGAATGACCCAGCCTCAATTCACTTTTTTGCAACTTTGTCACCGTGTCAGAGCTACAGTAGATGACGGAGTCCTTTGAAAGTCGGAGGATGTTTTATTAGTCATTGGTAGCTACAATTTGCTTATCTGGGAATTTTGATATCGATGACCTAAGTTCAGGTCAATTTCTCGACCTCCCCATTATAAGTCAATTGGGGAAAAATCAGCTCCCTGTATTTTTTTTTTTTACTAAAACGCGTCAGAATGGCCCCATATACCATAACTGACTTCATATACGATCAACCTTCACTACCTTGAGGCCTGTTTTGCTGTTGGGCAGCTGTAAGGTCATGTGACGTCATTAAAGGTCACCAAAGGTTGTTTGCTAATTATTCCTTACAGGAACAAGATACAGCCGCGCGGATGGTCTCATTGTGTTCAGCTCGTCAAGGCGCATCGAATGATATACCTTCATGATGACCTCGAGGTCACGTGACCTGAGGTCAACCTTTGACCTTGACCTTTCGAGGTCAACATGTGTATATATGGTTCGATGCGGATTGACAAGAGGATCACGATGGTGCCCTTAGTTTGTTCCTAGCTTGACCAATTCGAAAGTTATTCGAGAAAAACTCCATATCTTACGCCGCCATTTTGACTTTTTGACCCCTGTGACGTCATCTTTGACCTGACCTGAAAATGACCGGTGTAAAAATTGTAGACCTTGTCCGTGCGTACTCCACGCTGTTTGCGGCTTGTCGCTATCTTGCTTCGTTCTCGAGATTTCAGGGAGGGAGGCAGCGGTCATCCGCCCCCATCGGTTCTAAGTTGGCGGTTCTAAGTCGGTGCGCGGGTTAACGAAAAACCGGCGCATAATTCGGGAACCAATAGAGCTACAGCACCGCAAAAAAGCGCATTCGAATTTCGATAGCCCTCTTCGTAGTCTTTCTTGATTAACCCGCGCATGACTGGGGGGGGGGGGGGCTATACAGAGCCTCCCCTCCGGTTTTTCGGTAATATCTTCTAAACCACTTGACGGATCAACACTAATCGCGCGGTACCCTCAGCGGCATTGATTTGACGCCTTGTGTTAAAATTTCAACTTTCTAGCTACCATAGTTTGGCCGGAAATGACGTCAGAGTGACGTCATGTCGGACGAATTTGATGAAAAAATATTGAATTACGGCAATCGCTCTCAAGAGCTGAGTTTTGAAGCTAGATCCAATTTCTTTAGGTACATGAGTGGACTACAAATACACGCAGCTATCAAACTGCTATCTCGATTTTTTGCAAGTTTGAAAATTCCCCAAAAATATATAAGCATTCACAGTTACAAAAAAACATTTTTTTGATTTTTCAAAAGTTTTTTATTTTTTCGCAAAAAAATGAAACATGTGTGATAAAAACACACCGATGAACTACTCTAGCAAGTTTTAGCCGAATATCTTCAAAAATAGCAAAGAAATGTGCATTATTGTCAAAATTTACAATAATATATTTTTTCAAAGCCATTTTTCAGTACGTTTCTGACATCGTACAGCAATATAAATGGCACCATCGTGTTCCTGACCTCAAACGGCATCTGATAGGCACCTTAGTTGTTTCAAAATTTGATCTTTTCTGACCTGAAAGTGACCTGACCTGCAGTAAATCCAGCTGAAAATGACCTCAAATGACGCAGACGACATTTGTTCGAAATCTACGAGCAAAACGGACCATAAAGCATGCGTCACGTGACCGATAAATGATATACCAATTTCGTGATCTAGAATGACCTGAGAAATTCGAAGTAAAAGTTCGGTACCCTCAGGGTATCTAAGGCATATATCAAGGAGTGCGTAAACCAAAAATGAGCCTGATTGGACTTGTCAGCCGGCGGTGAGAGCCCAAATTGTGATCAAGCAAAAATGCTGATAATTTTTAGTTTGACCTGACCTGTGACGTCATCGGTGACCTCGAAGTCAATGAAAATAGGTTTCATTCGACAGTTTTTCCTAGGGTATCATACACCGTTTAAATTTTGACGATCGGCCCAGTAGTTTCGGAGAAAGGATGGGGGGGGGGGCTCTGGAGAGCCCCCCGCCCTGCAGTCACTCGCGTTATGAAAAATATTCCAGTCATGCGCGGGTGAGGCTCTCAGATTTGACTTAGAAAACCAACGATCTAGCCTCCAGAGGGCATTAACTTGAAATAAACTTTTTGCGAAAATGTTTTCTGTAATAACTTTTAACTTAAAAAGGGCACGACATTTATTTTGCCCGAGCTTCATGTTCCTCTCGTCGAGACACGTTTGGTTAACAATAGCCTGAACTTTTAAGGTCATTTTAAATTTTGACCTCAATTCAAGGTCATGACTTGACCGAAAATGTCATGTTGCATATCAGTCGACCCGTAGGTATCGTCAACCTAAGCACTATACACACCTAGGTGTTTTCATCGTTCATAGCATGTCTCTATCAAACATTATTGCTAAAAAAAAAACTGCCAGCGACCTTTTATGACCTGAGATGACCTCGGAGACATAAGGATTACAGGTGCAATTTTCCTATTCAGTTTGCCAATTCACCTGTATCCCGATGTTTTATTGTCTAAAACGGCGTTCGTCGAAAAGAGACGTATTTCACTATAAATCTCCCTTTGACAATTATCATGGAGAGGGCGCAAAATTCACCTGACCTTAGGCCGTCGATATAAAAACTCTGAGATATACCTACATTTTGTGCATATTAGCCGTTTTCACGATGGGCTATCCGGCGAATGCACCCGATTTGACCAAATCTGCACCTAATTTCCTTTACAGCAAATATCTTCATTTTGTGAAGTTATTTCAGTGTTTTAATCGATGATGCTCTCTGATAATATGACAAAGCAGGCATATAAGCAATCTAGCTGATAGCTGCTGAGAGACACACTGGACCTGATTTGACCAGATCTGCACCTGATCTGTACCAGATGTGCACCAAATATGTACCAGATGGCCGTCCTGAAAACGGCTACTGTTGCTCCTATCAATTGATGCAATTTTCAAAGCGATCGACCACTCGGTAGGTATAGCTAATGGAAGGCATTGAAACTTTTTAAGAGGTGAGGTCACTTGACGTGACCTGGTGACCTGACCGTGAGTGACATCGTCTGAAATTTTCATAGCATGTGCGGAAAAGATTTATGATGAGGTGTGCCAAACACGGCGGCGCGGATCTGCAAAAAAAAATCGGAAGGGGTTGTTCAAACACCCCTTCCCCCGCCTTCCCCAGCAGGGCTCGTGTATAACTCTCAGACCCTAGTCGAGTTAGGTACATCAGCTCCTTACGAATATCAAGTGGATGTCTAAAAGCAAATTAGAGAGCATAATGACCACTCGAAACCGGAACGAGGGCGCCTATCTATGCGCAATGCGCATTAAGTAGGACCCTATGCGATAATGCAACAGTCAATTATTCGTGAATACCTGGATAAAATCTCCGTCGAATATCATGCTACGTGTTTGTTGATATTAAATGTGACAAGTTAAGAGTTCAGGTTAACCTACGCTGGACTCGCCAGGATCTGGAGCTACTTATTCACTGCTGATTTTACCCCTAATGGTCACGATGACCTTCAATCTTTTACGGGCCAGGTCGAAAAAAAAACATTGGACATTCGGTATATGGGCTACCGAATGTTGTGTTTTCGATCGCAATTATAGTCATGAACTGCTGCGCAAGTTTTTTTCGACCTGACCAGTGAACACCTAACGTCATCGCGTTTGAGCTTTAGGGGTAGCTGCTGGGGAAGGGGTAATCGATAGTGAGAAAGTAGCTCCAGGTCCCGCATGGCGAGACGTTTGGTGCCATTTTTAGCGCTGTTGCTCGACTGGGTGGTCCGCAATCTGCTGTGCAAATGGGGGGCGGGGGGGGGCGTGACCTTTGTTGACACTTGACCTCTGCAGGCCAAACAGCTGGGAGTGACGCCGAACGCGGTTCGGGCCACGTATTGAACACCTGAAGGTCATGTTCTATCATCTATGTAGTATGTTGTGTATAAGTTTC